ACAATTAACCAGTGCAACAGAAGTTGCCATCCCTGGAGGTTTTTAAGAAGGACAACCTTCTCTCCAGAGACTGGACAGCCACTTGTCTGGAGTGATATGGGGTCTCCTGCTTGAGTAGGAGGCTAGACTAGAAGACCTCGAAGGTTCCTTTCAGCTTGATTCTGATTCTGATTGAGGGTGGGGAATTGCCACAAATCCTTGGAAACCCACCGTGCCTCTAAGCTACTCTCTTTTGATTACAATCCCCAAATAAGGCAGCTGCAAACCACAAGCCACCTCAAACACGCGTTATCCAGGAACAGTCAGGAAGATAGTAATCTACAATGTATGGGAACCCTAAAGAGGTAGGCACCGAATGGCTGCTTGAAGTTGTCATTATAGTGATTGTGCAGCCTGGAAGCCGGTCCCTTCTAAGAAAAACAAAGCCAATCCTGAGAGAAACAAGCAAATGGGCCGTTTTCTTTGGATTTACAACAGCCCTGGCTGTTTCAACACAGAGCCCTTGTTCTCAGCTTCCCACCAAAATATTGACTCAGAGACTTGTCAAAGGTCACCGAGAAGTCAAAGCTCCGCCAAACTTCAGTGATTAAGGCAGAGGAAATGTCTCCCACAGTAGACCTGGTGCTTCCCCGGGAGATTGCATTCAAGCTATGAAGATCAGCGCTCAGCTGTGTAGGCAAAGGAGAAAGGAAGAAGTTCTTTGAGGAGAATAAAAGGACTTTTAAGGATGGAGGTCCTTCTAGAACAGCGTTTCTCAAACTTCAGGAAGTTTTAAGATATGTGGACTGAGATTCCCAGAATTCTGCAGCCTGGAAGAATTCTCTCAGCTTAAAAGTCCACACGTTTTAAAGTCGCCAAGGTTGAACCAAAGTCCTGAGAACACCACGAAGTCCACTACTGAGGTGGCTCGTCAGACTGGGATAGTGGTGTAGATACATGAGGAGGTGGTGTAACATGATAAGACAGTTGGGAGGGACCTTGGAGGTCTTCTAGTCTAACTCCCTGCTCTCGCCAGAGACCCTGTTTCAACCCTACACCACTTCAGACAAATTGTTATCCAACATCTTCCTAAAAATGTCCAGTGATGGAGCAGTCACAACTTTTGGGTGCAAGTTATTCCACTGGTTGATTGTTCTAACTGTCAAGAAATTTGTCCTCAGTTTTAAGTTGGTTCTCTCCTTGATTGGTTTCCATCCGTTGCTTCTTGTTCTATCCAGAGGTTCTACCGCCTACTTCTCCATGGGGATGTTCAGGTTTAATGAGTAGAAGACATCTTCCTACAAATTGCCCTGCAGATTTCTTTCATTCCCAGCAGCCATGATACCCCTTGAGTTTGTTATAATAATTTGATTATTGAATTATAAATTATTGGATTTATTATTGAATTCACGCCCAGTTTTTCTACCAAAGCACATAGGAAGCTTTGATTGCCTTTCCCGGGATGAGCCGGACATTTTACCGAGGTGTCATGGTGATTTTAACACAAACAACATCCGTCTACAAAACTGTCATGGTTGAGGTTCTGGGTAAAGCTGCCTTCCTATAACTCATCACGCTAATGCTTTCTTCCCTCCAAACCAGTTCTCATGTAAACTGCACAATCAGGCACAAAAATGTGGCTTGATCAAGCTTTCAGGAGAAATGGAAGCTCATACTTAATAATAAAGCAACGTACTGTACTTAAAACCTTCAAGATACGACTTTGGGATCCAGTTCCATAAACCTCATCCTGTTTTTTGCAGTGCTTCAGACTAAAACACATGAAGAACGGTTGCAGGATTTGGGTCTGGCTAGTCTAGAGAAAAGAAGGACTAGCGGGGACATGAAAGCAGTCTTGCCATATCTCAGGGGCTGCCCCAAAGAAGAGGGAGTCAAACTATTCTCCAAAGCACCTGAAGGCAGGACAAGAAGCCATGGATGGAAACTAGTCAAGGAGAGAAGCAACCTGGAATGAAGGAGAAACTTCCTAAAAATGAGGACAATTAACCAGTGGAACAGGTTGCCACTAGAAGTTGTGCTTGCTCCATCACAGGAGGCTTTTAAGAAGAGACTGGATAGTCACTTGTCTTTTTTTTACCATAAAGGTTTTTTTTTTTTAATCACATTTAAAAACTCCATTTTTGGTTAAACAGTGTGTTGTCTAGGTACAAATTAGACAATAATCATCAAAGTGTTTACAATAATATTCATTCCATTGATATCCATTCTGTTCTGTATTAACATACTCCAAAAGGTAAATTCTGATTGGTCCGCACGAACTACATTCTGATTGGCCGACTCAACAACTGTGATTGGCTCACTTAGAATCGACCGCGATTGGCCGAGCCGATCGCGGGAGATTCAAAGTGCTGTCATCAGCCGACGAGCCGCGAGCAATCCCTATATGAAGGGCTGCCGCGGCTCCAAGATCTTGTACAGATCTTAATGTAAAATAAAGAGCTTGAAGTACACTGGTCTCGCGTCTCTTTTGTACCTGATCTAACACATTCTATCATAATGATCAGAATAATAATACCAGGGGTGGGATTCAAAAATTCCCAGCAACCGGTCTGCTGGAGAGCATGATTGATGACTCTTGGCTATGGATGTGTCCCATTGGAGAATATACATCTGGGGGTGGGGAAGGCCAGGTTCAAGGGGGAAATGAATGATGTGTCTAAGAGTCAGCTACACCCAGGCAGTGCCGGACATGTTAGCTCTTAATTAATCTTCCATAAACTCTGAGAGAAACGGCTAGAGACTCATGATTTAAATGGGGGTGAATGCCAGAGCCCCAACACATGGTGGGTGTGGCCTACTGGTACTTCCTGGAGGGCCATTTTTCACCTTCCGCAGGGTCTGGAGGCTTCCCCTGGCGTTTTGACCCAAACCTGGTTCCCAAAGAGCAAACACAAGACAAAGGCAGCAGCACAACCTTTTAATGCTTCATTTATGTTAAGTTGGTAGATCGGTCCCAAGAAGAGACGCGAGACTAGTGATTTTCAAGCTCTTTTTATTGTATGGTAGATCGGCTTTTTTGGCTTCGGATCAGCGGCGGCTTATATAAATCTTGCACTAGGCGCCGTGGCCAGTGACAGCCGTTCGAATCTCCTGTGATCGGCTAGGCCAATCGCGGTTGATTCATAATGGCCAATCAGTGCGGTACACTGTGCGTTCTAGCCAATCAGAATACAGTATTACAAGAATGCAAATACAGAACAATTTACGAATCCTCTTTCTTCACAGATAAAAGGCTGCTTCCAACTAATTACCTCCAATTAAAAAAGAGCCTGGCCAAGTTTTTGCAAGACTGCCAAGAAGAGATAAAATTACTAAACAATAAATCAAAGAGTCTCCAAAGACCAACTTGGATATTCTAACATCCACCAGGCTCCAATGTAAAACTTCTTTGCCTTCTGCAAAGAATTGCAGTTTCTCAGCTGGCTTTATCTTCTCAGGGAGGGTCCATCACCTTGCAACCTTACTCCTGAGTCGCCCATGCCGCTGCAGCTGCTCTTTCCTTTGAGCAGCCCTGTGCACACGCGAACTTTGGCACAGGCTCCTCGGGGGCCTCTTCCTCACTGCTGCCAGCCTCCACCATCTCCAAAGGCTTCATTCCACTCCCTGATGGTCCTGGCCCCATCCCTGCCTCACATGCAGGCCCCTCATCCGAGTCCTCGCTCTCTGAGAACTCAGCCGTCCTCACCTGCTGCTGGTTTACCTGCATCCAAAACACACCATGTGGGAACTCCCAGGAGGGGAGGGATGGGGAGGGCCAGCCAGGAGTGTGATTTGGGGGTTCTCTGAATTGTCCAGAATCTTAGCTGGAGGCTCTTCCGAACCCCTGCAAACCCCTGCCAGTATCCCCAGATCTCCATAAAATGAAGCTGCTCTCCGTGCAAAGCACCCACATGGATTTAAAAACCAGTCTGTTCTCTAGGATGAAAGGTCACAATACAGATTATGCATTCAGAGGCGATGCTAGACTTGAAAGATATCCCTTCCAGGATCATTACGAATTCCACGGATGAATCTCTTTGGGGGCACGCCAGATGTCAAGTCCTTCTGACCAACACTCAATAAATCTCAGCTCCCGTCTCCTCTCAGTTTTACCCCCCCCATCGCAAACCGCAGAGCTCAAACAAGGAAGCCACCACTGTACATAAATTTCCACAATATATTTTTAGGCAAGGGTTTTTTTAGGGGATACAGTAAGGGAATCTTGCAAGCGTCCACAAAGTGTTGTGGTTCGCCGGCAGCAGTTACAGATGGCTGAGGTCTCGGAGAGCGAGGACTCAGATGAGGGGCCTGCATGGGATGCACGGATGGGGCCAGGACCATCAGGGAGCAGAGTGCTGCCTTTGAAGATTGTGTATATGCATATATATTTGTTTTATAAGGTTCTCGCGGGTATTTGTATGTGGGTCTTTGGTTATTCGGGTTTTGTCCCGCGTAAGATTGGAAGTATCTAGGCAATGTTTCGATGAAGTCTCATTCATCATCTTCAGGCTTCTGTCTTCGGCTCTTGCTTCTCAGAGTGATGTGAGCTTGCAGCTGCTTCTTCCTTTTAACTGCTAGTGGGGGTGTGACTTGATTGGGTGGGGGCTTGGCTGTGTTCTGATTGGGTGGGGCTGTGCTCTCATTGGTTGGGGGTTTGGCTGTGTTCTGATTGGTTGGGGGACTGGCTGTGTTCTGATTGGCTGGAGGTGTGTTCTGTTCAGGTGGGGGCTTGGTTGTGCTCAGGTTAGTCTTAGTTGCTGGGGGATTTGAGCTGGTGAGCTGTGATCGTGCTGTGTATATATTTATGTACATAGAGAGCCTTTGCACCAAAGACAAATTCCTTGTGTGTCCAATCACACTTGGCCAAGAAAGAATTCTATTCTATTCTATTCTATTCTATTCTATTCTATTCTATTCTATTCTATTCTATTCTATTCTAATGTGTGTCCCATTTTCCCAAACGCCAAACTGTGATTCATCCTGGCTTGCCAGGCGAGAGAGTTCTCCATGGCTTCTTTGATTCATATTTGATTCCGGGAGTGCAGCTGTGCTCTTCTGCCCTCTGCCTTCGAGGGAGGAGTCCTTCCTCGCTTCGACCTTCGGCTGGATTGCGAATCTTTGACGAAGGAAGCGTAATATCTCACTTGCTGCTTTGTGATGAGCCCTGGAAAATGGGTTCGAAAAGGAGGTCAAGAACCAGAACTCGTCAGGGCCTCAGCTTTGGACGGGGGGAGAGAGAGGGAGGCCGGGTGGGAAACCAAACAGTTATATTGGTAGCTAGTTGCTACTTTGCCCCCTCCCCCCCCAAAAAAAAAACTAAAAAAAAGTCCAGGATTACTGAACTGTGGGTGGGCTGCCATCGACAGTAGACAGCATGGGTTGGCCAGGCCATAAAAGCTGATGGAGTGGAGAAGGTTCCCTGCCATGCCTAGACTGCAAAGTTGGAAAATAACCACCTTAATTGCATGAAGAGCTCCAGAATGGTCTTCCAGCAGCTGTTGTCCCTGTGGTGATGTGACACGGTTTTCGATAATTGTAGGAGCGAAAGATGAGAGAGACCTAGTTTGTCCTTGCCTTAATTATGAGACAAATCTCTCTCTCTCCCTCCCTCCCTCTTTCTCTGATATAAATATCTAGTTATCTAGCCATAAATTTGTTATCCTTCTCTCTCTCTCTCTGTCTCTCTCTGATAGAAATAGATATCTAACTATCTAGCTATAATCCCTTTATCATCTCTCTATCATTCTGTGTGTGTGTGTGTGCGCGCGTGCACCTGTCTGTCTGTCTCTCTCTCTCTCTCTCTCTCTGAAATAGATATAGATATCCAGCTATCTAGCTATAATCCCTTTATCATCTCTGTCTCTGTCTCTCTCTGTTTCT